TCTCTCTCTCTCTCTCTCTCTCTCTCTCTCTCTCTCGATCTGTCTTTCTCTCCCTCTTCCGCTATCCACCAGAAAAATAAAAACAAACAATCAAATAAAACACGTTTGTATCTGTTTTAATAAAAACAGTGCTCTAGGAATATGTTTGCAGAGTTAAATTCGAAGGTCTTCCCGCTAATATAATCTAAGTGTTGAAAGAAGAATAAAACCGTATATAATTTTGCATCCTTTTGCGAACGATAGCAATTTAGATGTTTATACAAACATTTTCTCATGAATTTGTAGATCTAGTTGTCCTTATTTACAATAAACAGTTGCTTGCTAATCTAGGCAATATCATATACTAGAATGTGATTTGGCTATTTTAGTGGATGGTGTGGTTTACTCGCATAGTGCTATGAATTATTTAATACCCCGCCTGGAAATACAGCGAGTGGTATAAATATTTCAGCCTCTTAAAGGTGGCTAACGTGGGTATTGGCTGTTTTTAAAATTGACAACCACACTCTACTGTAACATAACGTAAGGACTTTGTGTGATCCTATTCTATTTATTAAAATCCTAGCCACGTTGTTATCGTGTATGTACCAAGGTGTATGGTGTAGTGACAATAGGATCTTGACTGTCTCTTTCAGATGACGACGTGAGTTCGATCGCTAGATATGAATATTTGTTATTGAATATATTTTGCGTCTGTCAACTGGAAGGTTGAATCCCTCTCAGCCCTAAAATTTAAATGGGCATTAACTGTCATGGTAGAAGCTACCCGTATCAAATCGGATCTAATTTTTGTCGAGTTGGGCTTAAAATGCTGATAATTCAAATAAGTGAGAAAATGGGGTCGTGCTGCAAGTACGTCAGATTTTGTGGTCATTGGTAAGATTAAATAAATGCCGTTAGTCCTACAAATAAGCACAATTCTATTAAGCTTCATTTTTAAACAAATGAAAATAATGAAATTACTAACACTATATTTTCGTAATTTGATAACAGTGTTCATCTCATACGGATTCAAACGTTGTTGTTTTTTTTTTCCTTTGTTTTTTTGTTGTTTGTTTTGTTTTGTTTTGTTTTTCGTTTTAAGCTAGGCTTTTAAATTGACGGCTTACACTATTCTCTTTCTGTTATAACGAATATGATTATTATATAACATCATGTCCTTTTTGTCGGTCTTAACCATTTCTATGCTGAATTGTTTTGCAGAAAGACAATCCAAGCAGACAATATAAATAATCTGTGGGCCTGTAACCAACAACAGATAATTGCCTAGCGGGAACAGTACTGGATATACGTATTTGATTCACATCGCTTTCAGCGATAAAAAGGTTAACTGTGTCAAGTGCATCATCTCGGCCGTCAGTGTTACTTCGAAACGACCCAAGTTTTGCTGTCAGGTGAGCACCATTTAAGACAAAGAAAAGAACACCTTGGCTACTTACTGTATTCCTGCTCTCCTCACCCCACCCCCCTTTCGATACATTCCACATAATTTCCTTCTCCTCATTCTCCTTCTCTTCCTCTTTAACCTCTTTCTCATCCTTATGTCCTGTCTGTCTGTCTTTTTTGTTTTTGTTGTAAGTGTTTTGCGGCGCTCGCAACTGCATTAGGGCTTTTGAGCGCAAAGGACAACTGAAACATTTTCAGTTGGTAGGATATTTTGAATTTTGCCCTGGTCACGGATGAAGCCTACTCTTGCCTATTTTGGACCATCAATGGATCTTTAATGTGCGCAACTTGCACACGGGTCTTCCGAGATTTTTTGCCCTTATCCGAGAAGGCTAGGTGTATCTTACCTAACATAAGATCATGTGTGTGGCTGAGAGATTGCAGTAAAAAGGAGCCTCGGATAGCACTAGAAAGGCTGAAGAAGTAGTCAGGAGCCCAGAGTAGCGGGCAAAGGAAGTTGGAGGAGGGGGCAAAGGAGGGGTGGGGGCTGAAAGTGGAGACGATAGCAGACGACAGAACATTGTTAAAGAGCAGGAAAGGTTGTGAAAGGAAAACATTTTAGAAAGAAAAAACATTCCTTCGCTCTCCTGGTTCGACCTATTGACATATTGAAAGAGAGGCGAACATCTTATCCTCTGGACCACGAGAGCTCCCGTCTGTCTGCCAGTTACAAACTAACAATATAATGATACAAAGACAGACAGACAGACAAACAAACGGACAGACAGTATGGTATGGCCCTTGGGTCTTGATACAGATTTACGAAGGCGATTGACATTGACGTAGTGTATATTAGACTATGTAGATTACCGAAATATTACTTCCTTCGGCTTCTCCAGTGACTGCTGACGTCATTGTAACCGAGGATACAGCGACCAGTATTATTATATTTTTTGCAACAGTTCAACTTAGTATAATAGCTTACAATATCAAATACATAATGTCAGATACTCGTGATTATTTTCTTCTCTAAAATTGTCTCCGTTCACCTCCTTTCCTGCTCTCTAGCAATGTTCTGTTGTCCACTTTCATTTCCATTTTCTGCTCCCACCCTCTCACCTCCTTTGCCCCCTCCTCTCTGCTCCTGACTCTTTCTGCAGCCTTTCTACTACTACTCCTTGGCTCCTCCTTACTGCTGTCTTTCTGCCACACCCCTGATCTTCTGGTAGGAAAGATCTACACCTAGCCTTCTCGGACAAGGGCGAAAATTCTGGGAGGGCCCGTGTGCACGTTGCGCACGTTAAAGATCGCTTGGTGGTCTAAATTCAATAAGAGTAGGCTTCGGCGCCACCCGGGCAAAATTCGAAATTTCCTACCAACTGAAAATATTAGGTGTGTCCCGCGCGCTCATATGACCTATGCAGTTGCGAGCGCCGTAAAACACTTTACAAAAACAAAAAAATGATAGAACTATTGAGATTGATGTCTTTATTAAGGGAGGAGGTCATCATATTGAACTGTAAATATCTACTTCCTCGTACATAGTTTTTCTCCATCTGTTTGCCTGCTTACCAAATATAAAGCCCCACTGCAGATCTAACCGGTTTATAAGGTGATGTAGTAGTTAGGCTTTTTGCTGAAGGACGCAGTAGACATGTGTTTGATTTTGTAAGTGATTGGCAATTTTATTGTGTTGTTATGATTTGGTTTGCTATATAAATGCAATGTATTATTATTATTATTATTATTGTCATGTTTGTCAGTTTGTTTTGTTGGTTTGTATTGTTTAATTAGTCTACTACCCCCGTCTGTTTGTTTGGATGCGGTATCCCATTCAACATAAGCTGGCCCTGCCAAACAGGGTCAAAACAGGCTGACTCGTGTATAATGTTAAATTGAGTCGAAGCAGGGACTAAACATTCAGAACTACAATAGAAATAACAGCAGATCAAAATAATATGAAATTTTAACATTTGAATAAATGTGACGCTACCATAGTATCCTTGATAGTTCATGCGCCAAACACAACAGAAGTCGAAAAGGAACCTACATGTGTATGTACTGTCCAGGATTTTTTTTTCCTTACAGAGTAGGAAATGAAGTTTAGATGACACCCCCTTCCTAAATATAAAAATTTATAAAATAAGATTGTAAAATCCAAATACTATTCGACAATGTTTTCATTACTGGACATAGCAGCCTAATATAAAGTTCAAATTATGCTGTTTTCCTACTCTTTGCAGACTTAGTCGTTTTATAAAATCTAGGGGAAATAAGTTAATAAAGCAAAAAGAAATTAAGCGACTCGGTTGTTTACGTACAAACAACTCGAGCATGGTGTAGAGCTCATTATCACGGAGATGTTGATGAAATTGCCACAGCCTCTAACGTCTCGTGTTACACACACCAAAAATAACCCCGTCTGTTCACAACAGCTGCTTTGGACGTCCGTACGTCGTAAACTTCTTTTGCAGAGACCTGTCCAGACTATCCCTACCATTCTCATCTCCCTCATTTTCTTTATCTGTGTCTCTGTCTCTCTCTGTCCCTGTCTGTCTGTATGTCTGTCAGTCTCTCTCTCACTCTCCCTCTCTCTGTCTCTCTGCTTTCTCTCTCTCTCTCTCTCTCTCTCTCTCTCTCTCTCTCTGTCTCTATCCGCCCATATATGTTTGTGCGTGTGGTTCTGTGTGTGTGTGTGTGTGTGTGTGTGTGTGTGTGTGTGTGTGCATGCGTGTGTTTGTGTGTGCGAGTGTTTGTTTGTGTGTGTGTGTGTGTGTGTGTGTGTGTGTGTGTGTGTGTGTATGTTTATGTGTCCCAGACACTCTGACACGCTGTTTATCTCTCTTATTCCTATTCCTTTTTAACTTCTGCCCTCCTCACTTCCCACCATAACGTATCAACCTGTACCAACCTGTGAGAACAAAACTAGAGACCTCTGTTAGGCAAATGTACTAAATTTTTTCAAATTGTATTTACCTACCTTCAATTGATCTGCTCATTCCATGTCTGATGTATTCCCAAAGAACAAAGCCAAACTAAAATCGTAGAAGCCATTTTTTTTTTTTAAGGAAAAGAAAGTTGTCTCCATATGAACAAGAGAAAACAGTGAAAGCGACAAAGAATGCTTTGAATAATGTACAATACTTATTGGGACATCTTTAAAGATGCCGGTCACACGCGAAGGTAGTCCTGGCTGTCACGATATCGGTAGGTACTTTTATTGCCGAACTTCTAGAGCCTTCAGTCACTGCTACTGCCATCAGGCAAATAGCTGCATCCAAGAAAGAAGAAGCCCCCCGACCTCTCTCTCTCTCTCTCTCTCTCTCTCTCTCTCTCTCTCTCTCTCTCTGTGTCTCTCTGTCTCTCTCTCTCTCTCTCTCTCTCTCTCTCTCTCTGTCTCTCTGTCTCTCTCTTTCGCTCAGTTTTTCTCCTACCCCGCCTCTTTTCTCTCTTTCTCCCTTCCTCCGCCCTCCCTCTTTCTCTTTCTCCCCACCCCTCTCTCTCTCTCTCTGTCTCTCCCTCTCTCTCTATCTCGGTCAATCTATCTATTTATCTATCTATCTCTTTTTACTGCGTGAGTCTACCAAAACTATTGAATAATCCATTTATGTTGCAGCTGAGAAATCCTCCGCGTGTGGTTTCACAAGTTTAGGCAAATGATTCAGGACTTGTTTCTGTGTAAAGATGTAGCCTACATGGATATTTCTTGATGTCGCATTGAGCTTAGAAGTCGATCACCGAGTATCTCCAATAAGAAGTTAGTGTCCAGAAGTTTCTTTCGCTATCCTAGCATGGTGTAAATAGGCTAGATCAATATTCTTTATCACTTTCATCTACATCGTTCTGTATTTTAATTTTAAAATCTACGAGAACAAACTGGTCAGATATTTAATTTTGTAAAGAGAATCAAATTCTCAAACTGTCTTTGCAGAATCTACTCCAGTGTCGCTCATGTCGGTATCTTTTTGTCTTTACCCTTACCACCTAACAAAAGAAATAAAATAAGTAACATTGAATTCCAGTTTAATCGATCCCTTTAGCGAAGTTGTGTTTACAAATGCGTACAAACTCATATACGTACATACATACACATATATGTGTAAACATTGCATTGTACAGACCTTCCTGACAATACAGCGAATTAACTTGCCATTACTGGGCACCGCTGAGGAGAGCGATATTTTTTTAGCAACTGTTATTATGTCTTAATCAAGGAGACACAAAAATGGCCATCTACACGAACGAAGTGTCTTAGACATATTATTATTATTATTATTATTATAATTATTATTGTTATTATTATTAATATTATTATTATTACTATTATGCTGACATGATGTAGAGCCTGAGCTCTGTAACCCTCTGCCCCCTTTCCCAACAACAACAACAACAACAAAACAACAACAAATAACAAAACCAAAAGCAAAACAGACAAAAAAAACGGCAGCAGTTGTAACAGACTCTTACTGTAAATATTACAATGGGGGGCTCTCGTGGCCTAGAGGTTAAGATGTTGGCCTCTCATTCAAAGGTCCCGGGTTCGAATCCGGGTAGCGACCGAAAAATTTTCTTCTCTAAAATTGTCTCCTTTCACCTCCTTTCCTACTCTCTAGCAATATTCTGTTGTCTGATTTCATTTCCACTTTCTGCCCCCACCCCCTCACCTCCTTTGCCCCCTCCTCTGGGCTCCTGACTCTTTCTGCAGCCTTTCTACTGCTACTCCTTGGCTCCTCCTTACTGCTGTCTTTCTGCCACACCCCTGATCTTCTGGTAGGAAAGATCTACACCTAGCCTTCTCGGACAAGGGCGAAAAATCTCGGAGGGCCCGTGTGCAAGTTGCGCACGTTAAAGATCCCTCGGTGGTCTAAAATCGATAAGAGTAGGCTTCGGCCGCCACCCGGGTAAAATTCAAAATTTCCTACCAACTGAAAATATTAGGAATGTCCCGCGCGCTCATATGACCTATGCAGTTGCGAGCGCCGTAAAACACTTTACAAAAACAAAACAAACAAATATTACAATTTTTCTACCCTACTCCCCCACCCCCCTTCAAACTCCATAAGGCTCTCTGTAAGCTGATTTGGTATCATGCTCGACTACGGAGTGGATAGCCATTGTTCAAATCCCAGACTGGGAGTTCTGGAACTCGGGTCGCTTTCTCGCGTTTTCAAGACTCTCAACCCATTTGGCTTTGTCCTATCGGAGACAGAGGTTAACTTCCAAGGTTCTGCGCCCCCCAAATAACCTAATAGTGTTGATACGGGCGTAAAAACCTATACAGTTAATTAATTACACTCAGCCAGCCCCCCCCCTCTCACCCCCATTTTT